TATAATTTCTGCAGCAGCCTTGGGCTTCTTTTTAAAGGCAGGCTTCCTTTACAACGTTTTTCCACACAGAGTTCCTGATCAAATGTGACAATATCAATCTAATCAAAAACGGGATATCTGATGTCTCTTTTGACTTTTAAATCAAAGTTACAATACAAACTTAACAATTAATGAGTTTAAAGCAAAGTGCAGCTTTGTAAGTTTTGTTTAGAAAATGTTTAAAAATAAGGTACTTCTTGCAGCACAGAGTTCTGTTCAACATGCAGCATGCCCAGCCAGATGTTTCAGCCCGGTTATACACAAAACTGTAGTAAATTGTGTAATAAAAATCCAGGGGGGAGGGGATAAAATAACTGAATCTATCTCCAGATAAGTGTCAAACTATCGTAAAAAAATACTTTTGGCAGCTTTATCAACATAATAAAATTKTCTGTCAAGTTTTTCCACCTATTTTCAAAATCATCTTCTTGTTTTTCACATTCTTATTTTTTAATGTTTTTCTTTTCCTGCACTTCTTTTAAACTCGACATGAACTTTTACCYGTCATGGCTGACTTTACTTGTCTTATTCCCTCTTCTTTTATTCCTAAATCTAACTAGAAAAATAACTGAAAGTTGTATTTTATGGCAATCCATGTAAGTCTGTTTAGTTACTTTTTAGTGACTTCTTTCAGTCACTGCAAATATTGTGTCCTAAACTGTGACACAGAATAATTTTGCAATCAGGAAATTGTTTGCAGTCCACTCAGATCAAGACTTTGCCAAAACAAAAACTATCGGTAATCTGTGGTAAGCAAACACTGGGATCAATTCTAATACACTTTGTACTGTTGCAAAATCAGCAACTGTACACAAACATGAAAATAAAGCACAATGTTATGTAGGGAGAACTGTGTGGTAAATGGTAATACAATAAATTCTAAGTAACACCTGATTAAACGTCTTCTCTAAAACTCAAACTGCGAATTAAAATAGAAAAAAGTAGTGTTACAGTGGGTATCTAGTTRTCTGAAAAACAGGAAATAATTTGTTCAAATAAATGATGTAAGACCTGATTTTGGGGATATAACATGCAAAATCTATTGCAGTATTATATTAAGTAAATGAGTCATTTAATGATAAAGCACTGTTTATATTATTTAATGCAAGAATAATTCCACATTTGATTTATTGTGTTGAAGTCTGGGGAAAGGCATGCAAAATAATTACAAATCCTATTTTTATTTTGCAAAAGAGAGCCATAAGAWTTATCACCAGAAAACATTACAGTCRCCCATCAAATCTATTATTTCATCAGTTGAAATTGTTGAAGTGTCATAAGTTGGTTGACTATAAGATTTTTCTGATTATGTATAGGGCTCATAAAAACACATTACCTTTGATCATTCAATCAAATTTCAAAGAGAGAGAGAGAGTATTTATAATCTTAAAGGATTTTAAATGTTTGTAACACCTAAACTTCAAACTAATTTGAAAGAGAGATGTACCTCAGTTTAAGGAATAAATTTGTGGAACAACTTGGCCAACGATTATAAAAATACTGGTTCAATTAATTTATTTGGAAGATTGGTAAAATTTGATTTGTTGAAGAAATATGAAAACACGTAGTAGGCATTTATACAAGCTGATGTTTGAGTAGCTGTAATATTTTTATTATTATTATATTTTTATTTTGTTTTACTGACCATTAGGGTTTGAAATTATGTATGTATGTATGTATGTATATACACATTTTTTAAAAAAGGAGCAGATGCTATAAGATTATATTTTCTTATTTCTGCTCCCTTTCATTTAATAATTTTGTGTTGTGCTGAAAATTGCTGTTTTTTGTTGTTTTTACTAAATGTTTTGTTTTTAATCAAATGAAATAAATTTTATAAAATAGAAAAGAGAAAAAAAACTGCTCTCACTGAAAATGGGTCCTATTTATAAAAAAATTATAAAAACAATAAAACGTTTTAACAGAAATAATAGTAATCACTTGATCCTTGGCTGACCATAACTTTTGTTGCTGCTGAAGTATTTTCTTTGAGGAGTATTTTACCAGAAGGTGGCAGCAGAGTGAAGAGAGCACTGAATAAACTGAAACTGTGATTGAGGGACGGTTTCAAACCTGCTACATCTTGGAAGTAGAAAGTGATGCATAAAAGTGAAAAATTATGTTCTGCCTTAGACTTTTCAAAAACATAAAACACAACATTTTTACTAAGAAGTAAACAAGAAATATAGTAGAATGTGGTGGTGAGGAACTCATTTCTGTCTTAAAACTGTATAGTTAAAAAGTAAACTACAATTTGTAAATACTAGACTTTAAAAGTATTTATTTATTTATGGTAATGAAGCTTGATTTTAATAGCAATATATGATACAGTAATTCTGAATTTACTGGATTAACTGCAGTGAAGTTTCTGTAACCAATATATTTTTTAGTCTTTTTATCTTTTCTTTCAGATGCTCAGGTTGCACAAAAGCAGGTATTTGGCAKTTCATTTGGTGGCATTTTACATGTAGTGAAAATGTTTTACAGAACTATGCAAATATTTATCACAAATGTGTTTTATGTATTTTCAAATCACTGAGGGAACCAAGTTTTATTTTGTTGTTGTCTTTGCTCTTSTTAAAACATGTGATGACTAAAGTTAAGGATAAGTCAAATAATTTTCTTTGTTTCAACAAGATGTTTGTATTTAAATTTAAGGATTRCCTTTTTAATCTCTTTACATTTACCATTGTTTTTCTTTTTTCCTAGTTTACTGTTGTTTACCCATCCAAATCCCACTGAGATCACAGATCTCTTTTTTAAGGGAGGCAACCTATCAGACAGGTTTTGGGGTCTGGGAGAAATCACAGTAAATCCACACAATCATGAAGAGAACATGCCAACTCTGCACTGAAAGACCCAGGTCCGAAACAGGGATTGAACCCAGGGCCTTCTTGCTGTGAGGTGTTGGTGCTAACCACTGAGCCATTACATTGCCAATTTGTGTAGATGAATTGCCTTTACTCGTGTTTTTTTAATGTTAGAATAAACATAACTTTAAAAAAGAAAAAAAAACGCATGCTATATTTTATAAATTGATTGAATTAAAAGTGATTTTCACATTTGTGGAGTTGTGGCACAGAAATTAGACATGGTGAACCTATGATTGGAAGGTTGCTGGTTCAACTCCCTGACCAGCCCCATTCTAGGCCCTTGAGTAAGGCTCTTAACCCCTCAGTTGCTCCCCGGGTGACTCAAAAATGGCAGCCCACTGCTCCACATTTGCTCATTGTGCGATGGGAAAAATACAGAGAATGAATTTCCCCACTAGGGGATCAATAA